AATCATACCACGTTTCAGTTAATGCAATGATATCAAAGTTCCCAGCACATGCTACCAAACGTAGTTCATTAATTTTATTTCTTGCACTTCGACTGTTAGTATAAAATACCATCATATGTTTTTTCTTCTGCACATTTTTCCTATTCATCTTTGTTTTTACACAATTTCTGAAATTATCATTACCCAGAGTTACTCCATGACAGTTACTATTAAGATTCTTAATATCAGAGCATAAGTCAATATATCCATACTCATTATTAATCATTTCTAAACCCATACCTCTAACTAATCCTAGTTTAAAGTCCTAACAACCCCCTCAACTGAGTTAGCAAGAAAACCCACACCTGCCCTGGATAAGTGAACCCCATCCCTCAATTGTTGTGAATTGTTCCACCCACGGTGTTCTGGTTAGTTGTGAATTGTTCCACCCACGGTGTTCTGGTTAGTTGTGAATTGTTCCACCCACGGTGTTCTGGTTAGTTGTGAATTGTTCCACCCACGGTGTTCTGGCTAGTTGCGAATTGTTCCACCCACGGTGTTCTGGTTAGTTGCGAATTGTTCCACCCACGGTGTTCTGGTTAGTTGCGAATTGTTCCACCCACGGTGTTCTGGTTAGTTGTGAATTGTTCCACCCACGGTGTTCTAGTTGTGAATTGTTCCACCCACGGTGTTCTAGTTGTGAATTGTTCCACCCACGGTGTTCTGGTTGTGAATTGTTCCACCCACGGTGTTCTGGTTAGCTGCGAATTGTTCATAAGAACATAAGAATGGAGGAACACTGCAGGAGGCCTGTTGGCCCTTACTAGGCAGGTCCTTTACAATTCATCCCACTAACAAAACATTTGCCCAACCCAATTTTCAATGCCACCCACTCAAATCCAACCCCTCCCATTCATGTACTTACCCAACCTAAATTTGAAACTACCCAAAGTCCCAGCCTCAATAACCCAATTAGGTAGACTGTTCCACTCATCAACTACCCTATTTCCAAACCAATACTTTCCTATGTCCTTTCTAAATCTAAACTTATCTAATTTCAATCCATTACTGCGGGTTCTCTCTTGGAGAGACATCCTCAAGACCTTATTAATATCCCCTTTATTAATACCTATCTTCCACTTATACACTTCGATCAGGTCTCCCCTCATTCTTCGTCTAACAAGTGAATGTAACTTAAGAGTCTTCAATCTTTCTTCATAAGGAAGATTTCTAATGCTATGTATTAATTTAGTCATCCTACGCTGATGTTTTCTAACGAATTTATGTCCATTCTGTAATATGGAGACCAGAACTGAGCTGCATAATCTAGGTGAGGCCTTACTAATGATGTATAAAGCTGCAGTATGACCTCTGGACTTCTGTTGCTTACACTTCTTGATATAAATCCCAGTAATCTATTTGCCTTATTACGTACGCTTAGGCATTGCTGTCTTGGTTTAAGGTTGCTGCTCACCATAACCCCCAAGTCCTTTTCGCAATCTGTATGGCTAAGTTCTACATCATTTAACTTAATAAGTACTAGGGTTATGGGCACTCCCAAGCTTCAGAACCTTGCATTTATCTACATTGAACTGCATCTGCCACTTTTCTGACCAAAAATAGAGTTTGTTTAAATCCTCCTGAAGTTCCATAACATCTACGTTTGAATCAATTTATCCTACCTATCTTTGTGTCATCGGCGAATTTGCTCATATCACTAGTAATTCCCTCATCAAGATCATTGATATATATTATAAACAACAACGGGCCCAAGACTGATCCCTGTGGAACGCCACTTGTTACAGATCCCCACTCGGATTTAACCCCATTTATGGACACTCTCTGCTTCCTGTCAGTGAGCCATGACTCAATCCACGAGAGCACTTTTCCCCCCAATGCCATGAGCTGCCACTTTCTTTAACAGTCTATGGTGCGGAACTCTATCAAAAGCCTTACTAAAATCTAAGTAAATAATATCAAATTCTTTATCGTGGTCAACAGCCTCAAAAGCTTTACTGAAGAAAGTTAATAAATTAGTTAGACAAGACCGGCCTCTTGTAAATCCATGCTGAGTATCATTAATCAAGCTATGCTTATCGAGATGGCTTCTTATAATCTCAGCTATAATTGACTCTAGTAATTTGCCTACAATTGAGGTCAGGCTTATTGGGCGGTAATTTGACGGTAACGACTTGTCCCTTGTTTTAAAAATAGGAATTACATTAGCCATCTTCCACATATCAGACACTACACCTGTTTGAAGACATAAATTAAAAATATTAGTTAATGGTTCACAGAGTTCCATTTTGCATTCCTTAAGAACCCTTGAAAAAAACCTCATCAGGACCCGGCGACTTATTTTGCTTCAGTCTGTCTATCTGCTTCACAACCATTTCACTAGTGACTGTGATGTTACATAATTTTTCTTCTAGCCCACTATAAAAATTAATTACTGGAATATTGTTAGTGTCTTCCTGTGTAAAAACTGAGAGAAAATAATTATTAAAAATCGAGCACATTTCATTCTCTTTGTCAGTAAGGTGTCCATAGTTATTTTTAAGGGGACCTATCTTATCTCTAACTTTTGTTCTATAGACCTGGAAAAAACTTTTTGGGTTAGTTTTAGAATCCCTAGCAACTTTAATTTCATAGTCCCTTTTAGCTTTTCTTATCCCCTTTTAATGTCCCTCTTAATGTCAATATACTGATTCATAAGATGACCCTCACCTCTTTTGATACGCCTATAAATTCCTTTCTTATGCCCTAGTAGATATTTGAGCCTATTATTCATCCATTTTGGGTCATTTCTATTTGATCTAATTTCTTTATATGGGATAAACGTTCTTTGAGCAGCATGTATAGTGTTCAGAAAACTCTCATATTGATAGCTCACTTCGTTACCCCAGTCAACAGATGATAAGTGTTCTCTAAGCCCATCGTAATCTGCTAAGCGTAAATCTGGGACTGTTACTAAGTTATCGCTACTATCGTACTTCCATTCAATGCTAAATGTAATTGATTTGTGGTCGCTAGCACCCAGTTCCTCAACATAGATTTAGTTGATAAATTAAGCTCCTTGACTGACTTAAATGATTTTAACATGGCTAGTTTTGACGTTACTTCCTTGTTTACGAAAGTTCCTGTTGATGATTTATTAAGTTTCTTATCTGAAGAACTCGTTAATTATGATTTACCATTGCCAGTTCCTACTATCATTAAACTTATTAAACTTTGCATTGTTGATGCAAAATTTGTATTTAATGATAAGTTTTACACTCAGAAGTTTGGTATGGCAATTGGAAATCCTCTTTCACCTGTTCTTAGTAAGCTATTCATGGAATTTTTTGAAACAAGGCTGCTTAACACAATCCTCCCTAATAGAGCTAAATGGTTCAGATATGTTGATGATATTTTGTGTCTTATGCCCAGAAATGTAGATATACACCATTTCCTTGGCAAATTAAATAGCTTAGCCCATTCTATAAATTTTGCTGTTGAATTTGAAGAAAATAACTCATTGCCTTTTCTAGATGTTTTAATTATTAAGGGTAATAATGAATTCAAATTTAAAATTTACAGAAAACCTACAAATAACTGTTCCTATGTCCACTATTATTCTTCCCCCCATCAAGATAGAGTTAAACTGTCTGTTTTCTCATCAATGCTTTTGAGAGCTTTACGAATTTGTAGTCCAGAGTTCATAGATGAGGAAATATCCAAAATTTATGAAATAGGTAATGATTTGAAATACCCAAGAAATGTAATTAAAGAATTCCCCCAAAATGCTGATGGATGTGTCTATAAGATTCCTTGTTGATAAATTAGACACATGTGCAACTCTTGCGTATCTTTATTGAGGAAACGTTTCGCCACACAGTGGCTTCATCAGTCCATACAAAGGAGAATCTTGAAGAACAGGAGTAGAATGAGGTAATCAGTCCCTCAACCTTAGAGTCGATGTGGTCAGTCCATCAATCTATTCAAATTGATGGACTGACCACATCGACTCAAGGTTGAGGGACTGATTACCTTATTCTACTCCTGTTCTTCAAGATTCTCCTTTGTATGGACTGATGAAGCCACTGTGTGGCGAAACGTTTCCTCAATAAAGATACGCAAGAGTTGCACATGTGTCTAATTTATCAACATGTCGGTTCTATGAACCATTCATCTACAAAGATTCCTTGTAAAATTTGCGATAAAGTTTATTACGGTCAAACTGGTAAAAATCTCGAACTAAGATTAAAACAACATAAATATAGCATTAGAACTGGACAAGATTCCAATGCTTTATTTATTCATGTAAGAGATTTTAACCATCCAATTGATTTTCAAAAAGTTGAGAAAGTAGTATCAAGCAAGTCCATGGTCGACAGGAATATAATTGAATCTTGTTTCATAAAAAGCAGTTTTGACAATAATATGAATATTTCCTTTGGTTTATATAAATTAGATCCATTCATAATTAAAAGAATTTGGGAAGAATTTAATAATACATTGGACAAATAATAAATTTTTAAATTTCTTATTTCTTGGGTAGAATAGTTTGTTGGTGGGTTGTGTGAAGGACCTGTCTAGTTCGACCGGCGGGTCTACTGTCTCACGTCAGGTGCTTCTTTGTTGTGGGATCTGATAGTGAGGTGTGGGCTACCCCTTTATATACCTTCCTTTGATGCTTTACTTTCATTGTTCCTTGATAATGTGAGTAGTCACGAAAGCGCTTGGAATTTCTCTATCCTTTCACAGTGGTTGTTTTGCATATATATAAATACCTACCTAGCAAGCAATATTGGATGTGCTTGACTTTCAAAAAAATTAACTCCTGATTTGTTTTCTACCGGGTTGTAGGTTAGATAAGTGATGTAGTGCGGGTATAGGGACTAGAGGCGGGTAGAGTACTCACCGGTGTATATAGTGACAACATGCGGGTAGAGCGCTCACCAGCGTGGATATAGTGGCAGGATACGGGTAGAGCGCTCACTAGTGTGGATATAGTGACAAGATGCGGGTAGAGCACTCACCGGTGTGGATATAGGTGTGCTTCTTCATATCTGACTTCTGGTGGAAGCGCTTGCCACAGTACTGGCAGGGGTAGGGGCGGGTGTCTGAGTGGATGAGCAGGTGGGTGGAGAGGGTGGATGACCGTTTGAAACACTTCCCACACTGCTTACACTGTAAATACAAGGTTACGTCAGTACTGACACTGTCGGTGCAAGGTTACGTCAGTATTGACACTGTCGGTGCAAGGTTACGTCAGTATTGACACTGTCGGTACAAGGTTACGTCAGTATTGACACTGTCGGTGCAAGATAACGTCAGTATTGACACTGTCGGTGCAAGGTTAGGTAAGTATTGACATACTGCCGGTGCAAGGTTACGTCAGTATTGACACTATTGGTAATAGCGTTGCGTCAGTGTTGCTACGCTGTTAGGAATGTGGCCACGTCAGAGTTGACACTGTCGGTAAGAAGATTAGGTCATTAGTGACACTGTGGACAATAAGGTTACCTCAGTGACACTGTCGACAATAAGGTTACCTCAGTGACACTGTCGACAATAAGGTTACCTCAGTGACACTGTCGACAGTAATGTTATCACACTGACATTGTTGGTAATAAGGTAACCACACTGACATTGTTGGTAATAAGGTTACCATACTGACACTGTTGGTAATAAAGGTTACCACACTGACATTGTTGGTAATTAGGTAGGTTGTCGCAGACACACTACTGACACTCAGTTTACGACAACATTGACATTGTTACTTATACACCAATAACCCGCACATAGAATGAAATTTATTACGACGTTTCGGTCCGATTTAAACCGAAACGTCGTCATAAGTTTCATTCTCCCATGTGCGGGTTATTTGTGTATTATTCCAGTCGCAGTATTGTGCCTTTTTAGTGGCTTTGGATGAGAGTTAAATCAGTATTAAGAGTGAAAATAAGAAGACAATGTCTTTGAAGTTGCTCTGTTATTTGCAGGTCGTACGTGGCGTCATAAGAATTTGGAAAAGCTCTTACTTTAGCAGTTAAGTGACAATATGTGACGTAATTCTGGTGTATAGTCTAAAACGAATGTTTCATCAGCTTTAAAATAAATATTGTATGTCAGTGGCAGAGGACTTTATTTTATATACATTAGTCAAGACAACTTTACAGCGACAGACCCAAGTTAAACCATCGTCTACTAACCTGAAAGGTCTTCTCAGTTCTGACTGGAGAGACATTATTAAGTCCTTGGGGTTGTGTGACAGTCTTGTCGTTGTCTGCTGGGTACGGGTCGTAACCTTTTGGTATGCAGTGAGTTCGTTTTACGTGAACGTCCAGACTAAGTGGCGAGCTGAAGGTCTTTGGGCACTGTTGACAAGGAAAGACGTCAGCGCCGCGGTATAGGGGTGTCCAGGGCCAGACTCCCTGGCACCACGATGAAGAGAATCCTTCCTTCCGGCTTGCGATGGCTCCCTCGCCTTCTTTATCGCGCGTCGCCAGACCTTGGAGGTTCACTACGAATTCTGCATATTGACTGAGGCCAAGTCTGAGGCTGATTGAATCTAAAGGAGGAGCTCGTGGGTCTTTGCACGATTCTTCTTGCGTTGCCGGGATGGCCTCGCAGTCACTCGAGTCCATAGGGCTGAGACGCCCTGTTGGAGAAGGTAATGACTCTTCCTTTTCTTCTTGTTCCAAGGCAGATGCAGGGGACCATATGGCTGCCTTGGTGGGCCGGGAGCTTTTAAGGGATAAATTAAGAGGCTCGTCGCGTTTTTCAGGCGACGGAGGCATCGGCCCACCTGCGGAGGAAAAGATCATCAGTAAATATTGATTGCAGTGAGAGTTGATCAACTTCTAATTAAAAGTCCTTGATGCTCATAAAGTTATTTAGGTCTTTGCAATTACTGCTATATTTCTGTGTGTGCAATTTTAAAGCAGAGGAAAGATTTTACTAGCCTAAGAAATTCGTGACTGAAGCAGGGCCACAGGAGTTACTCTTATTAATGTTAATGAATGTTTCCGGTGATTTTCAGTAACGAAGCACAGTATTTAAAACATTTATTCATTATTTACTATGTTTATTAAGCAATATAAATAAGATGCAAGCGATCTCTCCCGACATGGATCGAGTTCTAGCTCCTGGTCCCACCCCTCACCTTGCCTCTTGCACTCCTATCCTCATGGGCCCGATCATTCAAGCTCTTAAAGCTTTATATGGATCCTGTCTCAACCACTCCATAAAGATTGCATTGCCCGACCACTCGAGACTAAACTACTTCCTTACATCTCTGACTCTTGTGTCTCTCTAACTTCCAGCTGTGTCCAAGAGTACCTGTCTACCCCTATCAATTCCTCAGAGTATTTTGTAAGTTCTTCCCTGGTTCTTCTGTCCTCGAATGTCTGTAGATTCATTCCGTCAGCCTCTCGTAGTTCATACCCCTTATCTCTGGAAGAAGCCTTGTTGATTACTTCTACCTTTTTTTTCATGTTTTTTTTTTTAGGTGTGGATTCCATACTGGTGCTGCATACTCAGATGGGACTGACATGTTGTATAAAGGGTACGGAATGACTTGAGATTTCCGAAGACGAACTTTGACTGCAGAGGTTATTAGGCTGATATGAACCTTTGGCGATGTACCAGGCATTATGGCCACCCGTATATCTTTATCTTTAAGTCTGCAGCCTCTGTTTAAGTGAATAGTACATGTCAAGTGTTCTTTGTCTCTTCCCAAAACTTCATAACCTTGCATTTGCTGAGGTTAAATTCAAGCAACCACTAATCTAACCACTTGCAATTTGTCCAGATTCATTTGAAGCCTTTCCCTTTATATTTTCTTAATTTTTATTTTCCCCAATAGTTTTTAATCATCTGAATACAGGGCTACATTTGGTTCAATCCCATCTGGAGTGCTATTCTCATAAACCAGTAACAGTACAAGTTCTAATACCAGTTCCTTGGGAACCCCACCTCTTACTGTTCGCCATTCTGACACTGACACACAAGGTTTGTAAGACAAGATTTGGTATTTCTGAACCCGTGCTGGTTTTTGTTTATGAAACCACTTCTACTCAAGTGTTATACCATTTCAGATATTCATTACCTTGCTCGGTATGCATATCAAAGAAACTGGTCTGTGCTTCAATGCTTCTGTCTCCTTTCTCTAATGTAAGAACTATTACTACCCTTTAGATATCTAGAAGGCAGTCAATGGATACTATCTCGCATCCATTGACTTGTAGATCTTAAATAATGGTTCATAAAGGGTTTGTGCTCCTCGCAGAATCCAATCGCCTTCGATGCATCTAGGCCCATCAGAAGTTTCTTTACATCTTCCCTAGTGTATGTTGTCAAGTACCTATTTCCCTAGGCATTATGGTATTGTCCCTGTTTCCACTGAGAACACTTCAGATCGTTTGATCATCACTTCGCAGACTTGTCATATTTCGTGAGCTCTCCTTCCTTCTTCAGTCGAATTATCTGGTCTTTTACTGTCGTCTTTTGATGTGAAGCAGTTTTGGCTCAGACGACCTCAGATATTTTGCCATTCTCAAATTGTCGTCAGCCTCTCTCCTCACCCTAGCATATTCGTTTCTGGATAATTTGCTTGCTTCTGTGTTCTTATCTGTCCTCGCTTTCTATAGTTTTTTCCGAGGCTCTTAGGCTTTTATTCACATTCTGCATCTCTGGTTGAACCATGTGGACTGTTTTTTTTCCACACTGATTATAAAGCTCTCCTCTGCCTTCCAGTATTTTCTAGTTAGGTACTCCATCTCATCTGCTGACTTCCCTTCCAATTCTGTCTCCTACTGCACTGCATTCAGAAAATCTCTCATATCCTCGAAGATAGCTCTTCTAAAGTTGATTTTTCGCGCTCTTCACCTACCGTTTTCCCCCTCTACGTTTAGTTCTTTTAGGTACTCGATGTTTAAAACGATATGATCACTAACGCCAAGGGAGGGAGGGGCTCTTGTATTCTGTTTCACTGGTCTTGCTGGTTCATCCTCTGCTTTCTTGTGTCCTTAACATGCTGTTAGTTTTCTCTGTGGTTTAGGTCACCCATGATAAGTAGCTTTGCTTTAGCCCTATGTGAACACCTAGCTGCTTCTGCAATATGTCAACCATCTCTTTGTTGTTGACGTCATATTCCTGCATTTAAGTGGCGGCTTGTGTATCACTGCAACTACTACTATGGGTCTCCCATGAGTCATAACTGAGCCCACTAAGTAGTAGTTTGCTTTTTGTCTATACATCCTTCCCCCCTCTTCAAAACTTTTAGTTAACGGTGCCACTCCTGTTTCTGTGTCTATATCACTTAATACCCTGCTGGAAATAAGGCTCCTAATATATCTTGTCAATTTGTCTCTGTGATAGCTACGATGTCTGGCAATACTTCAGTTATTTATTCTTTCAACTCGTTAATTTTGTTTGGCAATCCATCTGCATTTGTGTACCACACTCCAAGCACATTTTTCTTACCACAGACAAGTTTGTGTTGTCTACTTTCTGCATGTTGCTCATGTGACAGGAGCGCGGGAAGTAGCGATGGGGTTGGTGTGCGCATCTCTACGGGGAGAGGGATCAGAAGTAAGATAGGCATGGAAGAGGAAGGGAAAAGGTGAAGACCTGTTGTTGGTGCTGAGGAGGAGGCGCCTGGCCCAGAGTTGGGCCAGTTGTAAAAAGGGTCTTTGGGTGGGTGGGTGGGTGGGTGTATGTGTGTATGTGTATTTGTGGTTGCTTGGATCGAGTCACGGCTCCTGACCTCACCTCTTTGCTGGTCGCGACTAGTCAACTCTCTCCCTCCTCCATGAGCTTTATTGTATTTCTTTATCGTATCTCTTCTCTGTGTGTGTGTTGTACCTGCTGCTTTTGCCACATCAAGTACTTTACTGGCAAGCGGAAGAGCTTAGAAACGCTGAGTCTCACCTGTGTACTGCTTGTTGTGGCATCCACCGAGGCTGCTGGAATTCCAGAGGGAGCCCAGCGAGGCTGACGAGTATGAGCGCATCAGTGTTGCGGGGTATGGGTATATGAGGCCGGGGGGTAGCGGCCACGTGCTGTTAAGGTAGGCGCCCGGGGGCACCAGGGGTCCAGAAGCCACACACCCGCTCACAGGACTCTTGCACTCTGTAAACAATATTCAACATTTTAACCTGCACTCTGTAAACAATATTCAGCATTTTAACCTGCACTCTGCAAACAATATTCAACATTTTAACCTGCACTCTGCAACAATATTCAACATTTTAACCTGCACTCTGCAACAATATTCAACATTTTAACCTGCACTCTGCAACAATATTCAACATTTTAACCTGCACTCTGTAAACAATATTCAACATTTTAACCTGCACTCTGTAAACAATATTCAACATTTTAACCTGCACTCTGTAAACAATATTCAACATTTTAACCTGCACTCTGCAACAATATTCAACATTTTAACCTGCACTCTGCAAACATTCAACATTTTAAGGCAACGCTTAATCTTTCAGTCACAGAAATGATTTCCTGGCGTTAGTGAGAGCAATTTAATGTACTGTATATACAGAACAATATCTTAGTAGAAAAATGATTTTAAATACCAGAGCTCTTTAGTGTCTTAACCTGAAGACACTAAAGAGTAGGAAGTCCCCTCCCCTCAGCAGGCAGCTCCCTCCCCGTCTTCCCCTCAGCAGGTATATCCCTCCCCGTCCTCCCCTCAGCAGGTAGCTCCCTCCCCGTCCTTCCCTCAGCAGGTAGCTCCCTCCCCGTCCTCCCCTCAGCAGGTAGCTCCCTCCACACCTCCCCTCAGCAGGGAACTCCGCCCCTCGTCCCCTCAGCAGGGAGCTCCGCCCCTCGTCCCCTCAGCAGGGAGCTCCGCCCCTCGTCCCCTCAGCAGGGAGCCCCGCCCTTCAGTAGGTGCTTGGCGCCTGCACATGATTGGACGACAAATCTCAGCGCGAGGTTCAGCGGCGGCGGCGGCGGCGGCGGCACCTCCCTGGCTTCACCTTACATCACCAGGGGTCGCTGGCCTAGCATTGTCCATCAATATTATGAGTGACTTGTCGTGGTCACGCGCACACGCAACCTTCACAGTATCACAGCTCAAGACGACAAAACCTCTGCCAAATACAAGAAGCAGTCATGGTAGTGATAGAGTTGTGGGGAAAAAAACTAAGTTAATCTGCTGAGAGTGGTGTTGGGAAGCCTTGGCGGGAGAGCCCACCCCAAGGGTCTTGTGTGGCCTGAGGCAGCTGCTCACCCCCCCCCCCCCCACCACCACCACCACCACAATATGGCCGCCACACCATACCCTCCATACTCCTCTACAAAATCGACTGCACTCTTTTATACCTCTTCATTCTCCCTATATTAAATGTACGTCAACATAAAAAAATAATGTTCAAATGGTGGCGTGAAACTTATTGTGGTTTGCTAACTTTAATCGTACCATGTGTTCGAATTTGTTTGGTAGCAGAGCAGGAGATGCGCAAATTAACATTAAGATCGACAACACTCTAATTGCCAGGCATAATGAGGGCAAATTCCTAGGCCTATACCTCGACAACAACCTGAACTTCAGCACCCATATCCAACACATAACCAAAAAAGTATCCAAAACGGTTGGGATCCTCTCCAAGATACGATACTACGTGCCGCAAACTGCCCTTCTCACACTATACCATTCACTTACATATCCATACTTCACCTATGCTATCTGTGCTTGGGGTTCAACTGCAGCAACACACCTAAAGCCAATAATAACCCAACAAAAAGCCGCAGTAAGAATAATCACTAAATCCCATCCCTGGCAACACCCCCCCCCCCCACTCTTCATAGATCTAAACTTACTCCCTGTTCAGAACATCCACACTTACTACTGTGCAATCTACATCTACAGGACCTTAAATTCCAATATTAACCTTGACCTAAAACGCTTTCTTGATAGTTGCGACAGAACCCACAGGCACAACACCAGACACAAACATCTCTATGACATTCCCCGTGTCCGACTAAACCTTTACAAAAATTCAATGTATGTCAAAGGCCCTAAAATCTGGAACACCCTACCTGAAAATTCTAAAACTGCAGACACATTCATCACCTTCAAAACTACCATCAGAAAACATCTTATCTCCCTGATGCACCCTGTCAACTAATTACACGAATACCACCTGGTGGTTAACACTTACACTCACTCACCCATTTGACCATAAACAGAAATATCAATCTCAATCTCAAAATAATGAATCTTAACTAGTCATAAGTTGGCCTGTGATACTCCAATACTGAAACTATGTACTGTGCCAAAACAAAAGCATTCACATTGCTAAACTCACAAACTAGTATTTAGTCACTTAGCCATAATACCAACTAACCTCATAATTTTGTAATATTTTAAAACTTAAGATTTAATTTAAGTCTGCCCGAAATGCCTAGCCATGCTAGGTGTTCTAGTGGTACACTCTGTAATTATTATTTTACTACATGTAAACCACACAATAACCAAATTCTGTAAACTCAGCATTGTAATCCTTAAAGAGAATAAATTTTGAATTTGAATTTTGAATTTGAATTTATACATAAAGGTGTTTGAGCAGATGACTATATAACATAGCCATATTGCAGTGTTTGACCTCTCCTTTATAGCGTAGGAACAGTACTTAGTGTGTGGGGTGATGACTCCATGACTCCTGGTGGCTAAAGCTCCCGCTTCACACACGGAGGGCCCGGGTTCGATTCCCGGCTGGTGGAAACATTTCGACACGTTTCCTTACACCTCCTGTCCTGTTCACCTAGCAACAAATAGGTACCTGGGTGTTAGTCGACTGGTGTGGGTCGCATCCTGGGGGACAAGATTAAGGACCCCAATGGAAATAAGTTAGACAGTCCTCGATGACGCACTGACTTTCTTGGGTTATCCTGGGTGGCTAACCCTCCGGGGGTTAAAAATCCGAACGAAATCTTATCTCTTATCTTACTGTGGCCAACCAGTCTCTAAACCTCTTTTAACGTAGTTCATAATAACTTATTATTATTTTTTTTTTTTTTGCGAAACTGGAAATGCACCGTTTTGATGCTGGAATTAAATTCCCATTAATGGAGGTCATTCAAATCAACCATTTGCTCCACCCTCTCCTCCCCTCCTTCCCTGGAAGCTTGGGTGGTTTGGTAAGGTTGTGAAGCCAGTTTACTTGTCTGAAAAAAAATCTTGGTGCTAAATCCCATAATGGACTAGAATTCAGAGGACAGTGTTGAGGTTAGCCACTTGTATAATGCGCAATAGACTGGCAGGATATGCCTAGGCAGGTACAACAGTACTCGCAAGCATGCACACTCCTCTGACAAAAACAACTCCCTTAAACTACACCCTCACTAGTAGCATTCATCTTAAAGTTCCACTGCCCCATGTACCCACCAAGTATCACTAGCTCAACCTTCAACCACCCTTTGTGCGTTTTCTAAGGGTCTGAGTAGGAGTGGGAGTGAGAGCTCTTGTCTCCTGCTGGATCACACGAATTATGTCGCATTACTTAGACTGCATTTTCACTGCCTTGAACTGAATTCGAATCAGTTGCGTTACCCCTTCCTCTTAGAGAAGAGTTGTACTTTGGACCATTGTATTACTAGTCTCGTGCTATTGGTGTAAATCCCGAAAGGTTACAGAGTCGGCGTAAATCCCATCAATGGCTTAATTACAGGTTCGTCAACACTGGCAGTATAAACATGTCGCTGCATCCAATAGCTTTTGTGTGTGTGTGTGTGTGTGTGTGTTTATAAAGGGCCAATATTAAAATGTCTCAAAATTCCAATGAACGACAACAGAACCAAGGTTGATTAACAAAATTTCAGCACATAAGCTTGCTGATGAATGTAATGAGGTACACGAGGCATGCTGGAGCATTGTATGTACCAACATATCTGAGGTATGCTGGAGCATTGTATGTACCAGCACATCTGAGGTATGCTGGAGTATTGTATGTACCAACATATCTGAGGTATGCTGGAGCATTGTATGTGCCAATATATCTGAGGCATGCTGGAACATTGTATGTACCAACATATCTGAGGTATGCTGGAACATTGTGCCAACATATCTGAGGCATGCTGGAGCATTGTATGTACCACCATATCTGAGGTATGCTGGAGCATTGTATGTACCAACATATCTGAGGTATGCTGGAGCATTGTATGTGCCAACATATCTGAGGCATGCTGGAGCATTGTATGTACCAACATATCTGAGGTATACTGGAGCATTGTTTGTCCAACATATCTGACGCATGCTGGAGCATTGTATGTACCAACATATCTGAGGTATGCTGGAGCATTGTATGTACCAACATATCTGAGGTATGCTGGAGCATTGTATGTACCAACATATCTGAGGTATACTGGAGCATTGTTTGTGCCAACATATCTGAGGCATGCTGGAGCATTGTATGTACCAACATATCTGAGGTATGCTGGAGCATTGTATGTACCAACATATCTGAGGTATGCTGGAGCATTATTTGTGCCAACATATCTGAGGCATGCTGGAGCATTGTATGTACCAACATACCTGAGGTATGCTGGAGCATTGTATGTACCAACATATCTGAGGTATGCTGGAGCATTGTATGTACCAACATATCTGAGGTATGATGGAGCATTGTTTGTGCCAACATATCTGAGGCATGGTGGAGCTCGCATACAGACTGTGGCTTAGAAACGAAGCAGGATAAATCAGCACTGAACGTACGTACGTACGTACACACACACACGTACGTGTGTGTGTGTGTGTGTGTGTGTGTGTGTGTGTGTGTGTGGTGTTGTGTGTGTGTGTGTGTGTGTGTGTGTAGGGCTTCATCCCAGCAGTGAATACAGCTTAGGGAGGAGCTACCAATGTGTCGTCGAAGAGGGGGAGGGGGAAGAGGGAAGACACAACATTGTTTTATTCTATTTTGTTTAGTAGTCTGTGTAACTTGCTGTTATCAGAGGTATGATGTAATGGTAGTGTATGGTGTACCGAGGTCATGGTAGTGTATGGTGTACCGAGGTCATGGTAGTGTATGGTGTACCGAGGTCATGGTAGTGTATGGTGTACCGAGGTCATGGTAGTGTATGGTGTACCGAGGTCATGGTAGTGTATGTTGTACCGA